GAGCTCCTTCCCCTTCCCAACGCCCCTGCCCTTTGTCCCCTCGCTACTCATCCTTTGTGTAGAGTTGAGCTCTGTCCTCTCTCAGCCTCCTCCAGGGGGTTCAGGCCTGCCATCTGCCCCTCTTCACATGATAGTCAGGAGAGGTGGCACCCCAGAAACCTTTCCTGGCCCCTCAAAATACGCCGGAGGAAGGGCCTGAAGAGAATTTCATTTGCTTTTCTGCCCAGTTATCACTTGCAGTGTGGGTGGGTCCTAGACTCAGGCTGTGGCCTTCACTACCATTGCCTGAGGGCTCTGTAAGTTCTACCCCGGGGCCACTGTGCTAAAGTGTAGAGTGTCCTCAGGATGCTGAGCAGTCCTCTGAGGTTTTGCTATCCTACTGGAGTGGCCTAGAGAGAAGCTGAGTGTGCAGGGCAGAGGGTACTATGCACATATAAGCTAACACATTTGGGCTTCCCAACCTTGTCATCACTCCCACAGTACAGGTCTCAGTGAATCTCTAGGGGAGAGATAATGGGGCCGTTGTTGAAAGGAATATGATAATAAAGCTCATTCAATCACTTGTGTCAACACTCCAGTTGAATGAGAGGCCAAAGAGCCAGGCTGGCCAGCCAGAGAAAGTCAATATTGACTCAGGCCCGCCTCTCTGCCCAGCCTGTACACTCAGTGCTGAGGTCCAGCAGAGGCTCAAGCCAGGCCAGTCCTTTGATCCCTGTTCATTGTACTTAGAATCCTAACCTCTTCCCTGGTCCACAGCACTGGGCTGTCCTGGGCACAGGATTATCTCCAAGGGGAGAGAGAAGAATGGCCTTCCTGGGAGGGCTACGGGCCAGGCACCTCTTCACCAGCCCAGATTTTCAACAGACTCTGCATGCAGAGGCCCGAGTCCCCATCAGACAGTCCTCAGTGCCTAACCAGAAAGAACCTATAGGGTCCCCTATTCACAAGATTAGGTCCCCAATCACACATGTGCATGTGTGTACGAGCGCGCGCGTGCGCGCACACACACACACACACACACACACACCCTCACGAGCGCGCGTGCGCGCGCGCGCGCGCACACACACACACACACACACACACAGAGATTATGACTTTTTTACAGCCTTTAACTTTCTATACCTATTTTGTTTGCCTCCTCACTTTGTGCTCACAATACTGCTGTGACTTGGGCCAAACCTGCTTTACTGGGTGCATTTAAAGACTGCAGGCAGCTAGAGAGAGGAATGAGGAGACAAGAAAGGGAATATACACATATACACGTATAAAGTACCTAGCACATGTCAGGCACTGTGCTGGGTACTTTTTATTAGTGCATTAAATGATCACAACTCTATGTGGTAGATATTATGAGCTCTGTTTTATAGGTGAAGAAACTGAGGCTTTGAGAGAAGTAATTGTCTGAGATGGTAAGTGTGGAGTCAGGACTCAAACACAGATTGCTTTGGCTCCGAGCTCTTCTATCATGCCCAGAGAAGTTAAATAACTTTCCCAGATCATACAGCTACTTAGAGATAGGACTGGAAGCTTCAAGGAAGAGGCTACCTCTATGTCACACAACACCTGTGTCCAGGATCACCCATGAGCATGTGACCACGTATGAAGTGTATAGAGCATGCTTTGGTTTTTGCCTCCAAAGCCGATTCCCTGCTAGAAACGGCCTCTTCCCTGGGCCATCTCACTACCTGCTCGCCATGGACCTGCTCTGCCTTTACTGCATTCCCATTGCTTTACTCTAGCAATCTCCACAATCTCCTGCCACATAGCCAGACTTCTCAAAGTCCTCCAAGAGAGGAGGGCTCAGGTAGCTTCACCTTTTCCAATACTAAAAGTGGAGGCAAGAGGGAGGTGGCTCACTGCTGCCCTGTTTAATTTCTCATTTATCACTGTGACTCTTCATGACTATCCTATGAGGAAGGCATGATCCTCCTCCTCATTTTATAGACTAGGACATTAAAGTTTGCCTAAGTTATCAAAGGCAAAGTCAGAATTTGAACTCAGCTCTTTCTGGTTTCAAATGTATTCTCAGCCTCTATCCTAAATATGGCCTGCGGAGAACTTACAGTATTGCAATATATGCTGCACCAGCCACAAAAGACCTGACCACAGACAGACAGGAGCCCCCTCTCTTCTCTCATCTAGAAAAACAAGTCGGAAGAACCTAAAGAACATCGGAATGAGTCAAGATACAGAGAACACAGCCTACACCCTGGGAACTCTTCGTGTCTTGCCCTTAGTGTTTCGAGCAGCATCTATATTCCAGGTTGGATGCTGTGTACTGGGTACCAGAAAAGCTGGAGGGATTTTAGCAGGTTGGAGATCTGGGGAATGAGTTGGCAGGTTGGGATGTGCTGATCAGCATCTCTGCCTGCTACTGTCCTTCCTGTTTGGGAGCCTCTTTCCCAAGCAAGAATTCAGTGCACAGCTTTGGTAACTCTGCCTTGTTCCAGACAGGCATCAGACCTGATGACGAGCAGAGTCTGGGCCAAGGCACATAGTGGGGCATTAGAAGCCCTGCCGCCTGCTGTGGGCTGAGGTGGTGGAAGTAATAATGCATATCCACGAAGGACTGAGACATGGCACCTAGAAGAGAACACTGCCCTGCCTAACAGTACCAAGAATGGGCCAGCCCAGGAGGGCCACCTGCCTGCCCCAGTGTCCCTTCCAGCCTGTGCCTCAAGCTGGTTTCTAGTAGGCTTCTAGACACACCACCCCTCCAGGTCTGGAGGTCCCTCACTCACCTCTGGAATGCCTTCCTCGCCTCCTCTTCCACCTGACTCCTCACCCTTCAGTGGGCAGAGCTCTCAAGCACCAGGAGAGGGAAGACTAAAGACCTTCCTGCGAGTCCTCAGAGGCCTGGGTGGAAACACATCGGAAAGTCATTGTCACAAAGGTGGTAAGTGCCCCCGGGGATTTGGCAAATGGCCCGAATCCAGAGTATTTGGAACAGCTCCACGCCTACAGCCACCTGACTTAGCAGCCTTTCCAGGTGCAGGGGGAGATGGAAGGTTCCCCTGCGTGGCGCGCGGGGAGGAGGGGGCAGTGGGCACAGTGCTTCCGGCCCTTCTCCCCACCGTGCTCCGACTCAAAGCGGCCACGGGGCCCACCTCACAGACCCAAGTGGGGCGGGAGTCCCCCAGCCAGCCCCCGCACAAGCGCCGGGTGCACACGCACAGGTAGGTCCCGGTCGCAGCGCCCGAGCTCTCTGTCCCTGCGCTCAGGCCCCTCCGCCCCGCGCCCGCGCCCGCGCCCGCGGCCCCGAACTACAGCGAAGGAAAACCCGAATGAGGGGAGGCCAGTCCTCTCGTCTAGGCCTCAGCCCGGGGAGGTTAGCCAACCTTCAGGGGTGGCCAGGGCACCCACCTGCGAGCAGGAAGCCCCGGGAGCGCTCGGAAAGGCCGCGGGAACCGGGCCCGCCCTCCGCAGGAGGGACCTGGGCGCCGGGAATGGCGAGGAGAGGCTGCGCTTGCATGTTTGTGCAGCGCCGGCTTCACCTGGCCACGAGTTTGATTTCAGGGTGTGGCCTCAGGTAGGACACGGAGAATACAGAGCCCGGGAAAAGTCTCCAAGGGACGCAAGGGCCGCGGCCAGGAGCCTCTCTGATCGAGGGGCGCTTCCCTGCTCAACCTTTTCCTTTTAATCCATGGGCTCCAGCTTCCTCCGGCCCTTCTTCTTCAGTCCCTGATCCTGGTCTGGCAGACCCACTGTGACCCGCCGGTGTCCCCAACGTCCCCGGGCCACCGTGCAGAGAGGCTTGACCTGGATTATCTGCTGAGCGCCTGCCTCTCCGTGTAATGAACTCATTAATTTGCTGTGCAGATACTCACTCTGGAGGCCATGGGCCTCCCTCCTGGATCCTAGAGGTGCTGCTGCAGGGCTTCAAGCTCTCACCACACACACCTTGGAGAGCCCCGGCTGGAGTCCTGCCACCTTGGTCTGTCTGTCCCATCTGGACAAGGCCCCAGGACTGTCTTGGGGTAGCCCCCGTGTACAGGCAGGAAAGCAGGATTTAAAGATTCCAATTTCCTTGTCAGACCTTGCTCAGTTCTGAGAATCCTCTGGCCTCAGGATTTTAGGGTAGAGAAAGAATGCCTCCAGGAACCTTGTGCCCCCAAACAGAGGATGGAGCCCGTTCCAGAGCTAGCATTCCCGGGTTGACCCCATCAGTGCCCTGGCTTAGGAGAAGGATGGGTACTGGAGTGGCTTACTCCTGCCTGTCCTTTGCCCTGCTTCTAATGGGTTGGAGGGTGGTTTCTCTTATGCATGTATGTTGTGGGGGAAGGGCAGAGGCCAACTGTCTGTCTCTTCCCCAAACAAGGAAGTGAGAAAACCCTTGTTGTCCTAGACTTGGGCCCCCAGAGAGGACTTTGTCCAATTGAGTGCAGAGGAGATTCTAGCTTGGAAATTCAGTACTTCTAGACTCCAAATGCTGCCCCCAAATAGTGGCTGGGTGACTGCCAGTGTCACAGAGCAGGGACCAAGGACAGTGTAGGAATTTTTGTCATTGTTAGGCACCTCAAACTTTAGTTTTTGACGTTACTATTGCCATGTATCATTTTTATTCACCGATTCTTTAGATATATCACTGTAATTTGTGGACAAAGCATTTGCACATAGGCTATATTGTTTATGGACAGTTTATCCTAGGCTCCTACCAAGCAGAGCTACAGCAGCAAGTGGGAATTATCCAGCCCCAGACAGGCCTACATCCTATCTGGCTGTGCCACAAGCTTCACGCCTACAGCATTCCTGGGGAGCGTATGGTGGTGCTAGGGGCCAGCCCGGGGAGCCCTCGGAGAGTGGCATGGAAGCTAGGGCAGCTGCAGACACATCTCTGCTCTCTCCTTACCTTCTGTCTTCCCTCTTCCTCTCTGTGTCTTTCCCAAGCTTATTTCTCTGCCCGTACAACACTGTAGGCCTGACCTTGTTAGCCAACCCCTGACCTCCTGTGGTTTCCTAGGAAGCTGCCTTCTGAGCCCTAGGATGAGGGGGCCATGTGGTGGGGAGGAACAAGCGATACAAGAATGACTTTCCCCACAGATTAGGTACCCAGGAGCACAAACCAAATGTTGGTTGTGGGAAGTGGGTTATGCTAGGTGGGGGTTGGGAGTGGGAGTGGGGATGAGGGGAATTGGTCGCTGAGGATTTGAAATGAACCACGAACCAAAGCTAGAAGGAAATGCGTAACATTGTTGAATCTAGAATCAACACCCTAAATTATTTTTTACTGACTCACAAATGCACACATAAATTCTTTTCTTTTCATTTAAATACCTTATATACCAAAACTCCAGCTCAAAGCAGTACTTTTGAACTGTTGAACTACAACAAAATGTGAATATTAGCCTGTTATCGGAAGTGAACTGGTATTTAATTTGGTTTGAATCCAGGCTTGGGTATCCCACAAAGGCTACTAGCCAAGTACTATCCTCACCCTGTAGGGAGTGAGTCTAGGAAACCTTGGGGTCCTCTCACCTTTGGGAGCCGTGATGGGATTTGAGGAGAGGCAGAAATTCTCAAATAAGATTGACCAAGGAAGTAATGAATCCCTCATCACTGGTGGTATTCAAGACCCCAGATAACTATCAGTCGGATATGCAGAGAAAAAGTTCTCATACTGGATATGAGGGCTAGACCAGGGGACTTCTCGGGCCCATCACAACTCCTGCACTTATAGTCACATCTACAGGTGGGTCAGCTGCACTGTGTTGGATAACCCTCTGTAAATGGGGATGGCCGGGATGTGCAGAATGGGTCCTGAGTGATTAATTCCTATGTGTGACTGACTCCTCCACTTCTCTGTGCACCTCTGATCTACTCCCAACTCAGCCCTGCCCAGAAGGAGAGAGCAGAAAAACAGTGCATGATGTGGCAGGAACAGTCTGGGGGGGACAGCATCTCCTCCAGCGTTCATGTGCCTCCCTCTGGCTCTGTTCCCAGGTTGCTGTGCTGGGCGCAGAGAGGAAAACCAGGCATACCTACCTTTAAAGAGCCTTGACGGTTGACAGAGGCCTTTGGGTTAAAGGAGTTGTCTATGCAGTGCCATTCTACAAATTGGGCAGGAGCTCTGGACAGGACACTGAGAACTGATGTTTCACCATGGGCAATGACTCTTGGAGCCCTGCCAGCTCTGGGGCGTTGGGCAACCAGAACTGTCTGGGAGGGCATCAGGGCAGGCACATTGGGCAGGGCAGGCACTTGCCAGCTCTTTCTCAGCCTGTGGCTGTTGGGGCCTGTTGTAACATCTGAGCATCTACAGCCAGGGCTGGAAGCCCAGATTAGGGCCAAAGAGGAAAGATATGGATCAACTTGTGGTTTAGAAACACAAACATATTATCCTTTCCCTGCACCTTTCTGCTGCGTGACTTGAAAAGCTGCCTAGGGATCAGGAACGCTGCTGACACGCTCACTCCTTCTGGGGCTCCTTTCTCTGGATGACTCTACTCTCCCCTAATAATAGTAATAATAATTACTGACAATTATTGAATGCTTCCGATGGGCCGGGAACCATGCTAAGCTATTTACACGTATTATCTCACTCAAGTCTTCACCATAACATTGACACAGAAGAACGATACTATTATTATTCTCATTTTACAAATGAGGAAAGTGAGGCTCAGAGTGGTTAAGGAATAGCTCAAGGTCTTGTCACTGAGTGGTAAAGCCAGAATTTCAACCCAAGTGTATCTGCCTCAAGCCTATTCTCTTAACTCTGTGCTGCTCATAAGTTCCTGGTTCCAAGGACTATATGATGTGACTTGATCATGTGGGATGAAGTCCTTGGGAACAGTTGGTGAGGGAGGCACTGGTCTTTTCCCTCCTTGTGCCAACTCTGCCACCATGGATGGGTAAGTCATGTGACACAGAGAGGCGGGGGATATTCTGACAAGGGCATAGGACTGCACCCCCACCCCTCTACTCCCACCAACAGCACTGGGTATGAGTGTAGAGGGGGCCTCAGTTTCCCTAACCCTGTCACTTAGTCCCCCGCTAGGAACCAGGTGCTAGGTTTCCACAGTTATGAGCCGGCACCCTGCCTGAAGTCCTTGCATCAAGCCACCTGTCCTTCACACACCCTGAATGGGCCCAGAACTATGAGGCCCATGTGCAGGCACTGCTGGGTAGGTGGGGCCTGGCATGCCTGCTTGCTACTTGGCTGGAGGAACCGCCTGGAGCCTGGGCTCCAGAAGGGATAGTTACACACTCTGCGGCCCCCGGCCCTAGAAGAGAGGCATTCTTTGAAGAAGATCCCTTCTCGTACCTCTTTTCTGGACTGTCCCTTTCTACTCTTGGGGTGGCCTGGGCCAGTGTCCCTCATCCTGCTGGGAGCACCCATCTCTCTCTGCTGATGGGACTGAGAGGCAGGTGCCCATCTCTGAAGATCTTGGAGCGTGAGTTGAGGGAGCTGACATTGCCAAGCCCTTGGGATCCTTAGGCAGGGAGGTAGACCGAGTCTAGCTGCAAAGAGAACGAGTTTTTGCAGGATTGAATCCCTTCTGTTTCTCTAGACTTCCTGCATGTCTCAGTCTCTTAATGTGTATAATGGGGGAGGGAGTGTCCCTTCCCTTGGGAAGATGAAATGATGAAGTCTAGATTACGGGGGTACAGGGGCCCTAAGCATCAACACCCCCAAACAGAGTGAAAGGTTCTTGACCCTTAGCCCTTACAGCTGCTAAAGGGACCAAGAAGGAAACTCTCCTCCCCTGCACCATACACGCACACAGCTGCCACAGGGAGCAACAAAGCCTCATTTGGAGGGCCACAGGGGCAGCATCCCAGGGTTCTTCCAGGTGAACTCGCTATGAAATCAATCCTACAGGTCTGTCTCCTCCAGATCCTGGAGAGAGAATCCCAGC